ACGGCCCCCACTTTGCACCCACAGAACAGGCTCGCGCTCTGGCTCCCTCTTCCCCAGCCAGCAGAGTTCCGCTCCCTGCCCGGGCCAGCCTTCCCCAGCGCCCTGGGCACACGGCTCTCAGAGTCGATTTGCCTGCTCACCTCGAAATGCCGAAGGGGGGGGGGGGCGCTTCCTGATGCAGCTGGTCAAATGTTCTAGCAGGAGAAAGCCTTGCCGGAGTGTGCACCTCAAATAATCTGGAGCTGGGGATGGGCACAGGTGAGGGAATTCCCGCAGGAAGGTAACAGCTGCTCGGGAAAATATAACACATAACAAAAGATGGAGCAAAGTAATCAGCTAAATAAAGCTATGACTGTGAAATATGGTACTATTGTACTGGAGAACAATATCAACAAACGATTTGCAAATCTGTGGCTCCCAGCGGGCACGCCTCTGTTTTATAAAATAAATCTGAACATAGTAATCAGTAGGACTCCCATGCACACGGCTCTCTGGTTTTATCACAGCGGCACGGATTCAAAATGAGTAAGTGTCACACGTTTTCAGTGAAATATACATTTAAGGTGATTGGAGGACAATCAGCCGGGAAATAGGATGTTAGGAGAAGAATGCAGCTGTTTGTGGCGCTGAAAGTGATTTGTATTTGCACACAAACAGAAAGAACTACAGAGTAGAACAGAAAAGCAGGTAAACAGCAACACGCAATTCCGGGGCAGGGAAGGGGATATTAACAATTGTTTAAAAGTTAGTTAGTTTTCAAGAAAAAAATAGCATGTATTATTATAGAATATAGTACCAAGATTACACTTACCTGCAGCAGATCTGGAAAGCCTCCGAGCCGATGAAACTCCGTCGATACGGGAAACAAAACTCTACATAATTGGCATAACCTCTTTCGAAATTAAAAGGGATGCCGACGAAACGTTGTGTGAGCTGGGAGAGACATGCTGTTAAGAATACTTGAAAAACTGATTTGCTTATGATAGTATAAACCCTGAAAAGCAGGGTCATGATCACAATTTCCATTATTTCTGTCAAACACAATATTATTGGAGACTACTCAGGTACTTACTGTGACTAATGAAGGCAAATATTACACACACTGTACTTCTGTCGTCCATACCTGAGGCCATTAAAGCGCACACATTTTCCAACAGATCTACAGGCCTCAGTCTTAGTGAGAATAACTGCCAGCTACTTCTTGTGCTTAATAGTCTTTGGAATAACGAACCACACCAGGCTGAAATAGATCTGGGAACAGGTGAAAACAGTTTTCCTGTCCAGACAGCGAGGACAATTCTGACACTGAATAGTTGAAATAATATACATAGAAATGGCCTGAATTATCTTCACCAGCAAATCTACATCCCCAGGCAATAACAGAAGCAGCTCCTGACTCAAACTCAACCCTCAGTCAAGCAGAGAACTCAGAGATATGGGACTAAGGAGGGAGAGACCAAGAAGAGACAGATTCAGCTGTTCCACAGGAAGACTTTTTTAAAAATGACAAGAAACAAGTGCATACTCAAAATAATAGACACCCTACCTCTGGAAAATATTGTAAAGGAGGCAACCTATAAAAAAGAAAGCCAAGAGTATAATGGCATTCGCTTTTCTTTCTTTCTTTCTTTCTTTCTTTCTTTCTTTCTTTCTTTCTTTCTTTCTTTTTGGTTAGTTGACACTAGCTAACAGCAAAACTATCGCACCTTTCAGTAACATCAGCAGAACCTTTGAAGGTAATAGAACTATTGGTAAGGCAGGATATATGCAGATATGCTAACTACTCAGGTTTGAAATTGGGGAACAGTTTGGTTTTTCTTAAAGGAGGAGTGGGGAAGGACTCAATTTTTTTTTATGCCTGAGAGAAATGGTATATTATCTGGTCGAGAAGAATTAAAATACATAATTAAAAATAAATAAATGATCCAATAGAAACAAAGCAATACGTGGAAAGAAACATTTCTGGAAAGAGAGACCGCGTGTGGTATAAAAAGCGATTGAACACATAAGGGCTGCATTAAATTCCCAATAGATAACATTTGGCTAAATCTATCCCTAAATTAAAACGCTGCATAATAGCACCATAAACTAAAAAGTTTCTTTTTGTGTGGTCCTTCTGGAGGAACTGCTTGAAACATTAGCCCCCATATAGAGCAATCCCCGCCCAGTTCAGCTCCAGTAATTCGTCTCCCAGCCCTAAGGGGATATGAAGAGGAAAAGAGCCGGATTAATGAACCCACACTTTGTAGCGGGGAGGAGGAGGCGGCGACACCATCATGTTTGTCTCCCCACCAGTTTGTTTATTAGAGGCCAGCCTATTTAGGAAGAATGGCTCCACTGGGCTCCATCCCTGCAAACACTACAAATGTCCTTCTGTTTGCCTTCAAAGAAAAGGGGACACTGCGCTACATTTGCATGCGAATGGGGAGCCCTCGCTCAGAGATGTTGTTAGCCCCATCAAAGGCTTTAGGGCTGGCCGGACGGCCGGCCTTTGTTACAGCACCTGCTCTGGCGGAGCAGCCTGGACACTAGCTGCTCAGTGCAGCGGGCACAGGGGGCGCTGGGCCCTGAGGGCCCTGCAGAGCCCATGGCTGTTTGGACAAGCACAAGACACAACAGCTAAAGAAGTTAGGTCTTGCCGGTGGAGACAGACCAAACATCCACATGTGTCCCCAAATTAGTGACGGAAAGTCATTTGAACTCTAGCTGCCAGCGACCAATTATCGTGTCTTTCAATTTCCAAATGGAGGCCTCTGCTCAAATTCGAGGGAAACCACTGGTATGAAATATGCAAGGAGCCTTTAATATACCTTTTCTCATGAAAGGTACGGTACCCAAGGGGAAAATAACACGCAGGCACACACACCTGCGTGTGTGGAGACAGCCTTATGGACATGTAACATAGCTCTCTTCCTGGGTTTTGTTGTTATGAAGCTAAAAGAAACAAGTCAAGGGAAGGGGCCCGCCTGAAGCTACTTTCCCCGTTGCACCGATAAAGGGTGGAGATTTACATGTTCTGTCATCTAAAAGCACAGTCTTGCTAATAAGAAGAATAAAAGCATGAATAATATTCTGTGTGTTTGAGAACTCTACCTAGTATGAATAAATATAGACCTGTTTCCCCACTACAAACTTTCACTGATTAATTTAAAATCTTAACCCCTATGGATAATATTTTCAAAATTGGTTACCTACTGTTAGGCTACTAAATCCATTTTTAGACACCTACATAAAAGTAGCATGATTTCCAAATGTGCTGAGAACTTGCAGTTCCCATTGGGAGCTTACTAGTCACCCACGTTTGAAAATGTTGGCCTGTATTTTAGAGGGCTGCTATGAACAGTTTAATTCATGGTTAAACTACGATTTTAAGGGTACTGGCCAGATAATTTAAACTCTATTAGGACAATGTTTGAGAGATTTAACACATATTTACTCGAAGTGCAATATATTACTCCAGCAACAAATATGTCTTGCAATAGTTGACTTGAAATGATTCTGAAAAATGTAGACCTATTTCTTCTACAGGAATTTTTATAAACTTGTATTTAGTAGGTCATTTGTGAATAATAATGAAGTAAAATATTTTCCCAGTCTTCTTACAAGGACAAATATATGATGCCTTTGAGATTTTTCTCTTATACTAAAGATTAAATGTGACTTTTGTTCTCTAAGAAACTCAGGCGACCCAAAGGGGCCCTTCATCCATATGCTGCAAATGGAGCTCAGCAGAGACCAGACGTTCAGTCATTCCGCTTATTAAAAACAATTTTAACACCGCATTCCTACAAACGAAATACAAAATCATGATTTAGCTATCCAGGAGAGCACAGACCACTATCCTTCTGTAAACTGAGGAAAAAACCCTTGAAATGTGAAACCATATAACTGAAAAAAAACTTCAGTTTTTCAGGAAATCAGGATACTTTGTTCTTTAATCTGCCAAGATATGCTTGAAATAAAATCACAGGGGATACCTTTTAAACCGAACTCTCTGATTTGGAATCTATGTGTTTGTAATTCATAATATTCCATTCAGTCACAGGTCCATTTTTTAAAAGTGTGTTTTTCAAATTCTGACTTTGTGTCCTAATTTTTGTCTAAATCTGATATGATAATAACTGCGTATATGTATATATTCCTATTTAAATTACTTGAATATTTAATAAATGGCTTCGGCAGAAATGTATTATATATTTAAATGTACCCTTTGTACTATATTATATATATATATACATATATAAAGTAGCTGAAAGTACTCGTATTATCTTTACACCAACCTAAAAGTATAAGGTGAAAATTCCCCATAATAGCTGTTTATATAGAATTTATTTTTCTTTTCCTTCATACTCTTTGAAAACTAAATTGATGTAGTTATGATTTAAAACAAACCCAAAAGTATTAAAATTGTCGACATTTATTGACCCAAAAGCAAATAGTTTTAGTTTTAGAGCACTGTAATTTGCAGGAAGTGGATATCTTCCAACAACAAATAGATTTACTTACTCCCCCCATTTATATTTTTACTTTCTATTACCTGTTATTGTTGACAATGGCTAGACTGTGAAGATCATGTTCTCATTTTCTTCTTGGTCAAATCCTTTAATAAATATTTGCTGTAAAATATTGGGGATACTGTTGTATTAACTTCTCTGTTTTTCTACTAATCGCAAATCAGAACTCTCACTCTAGCTGGTGGGGGGAGCGGAGGTGTGCTAAGGAGGGGAATGTCCAATGCCAATTGTATGGGTGGGACTTTTTTGAAAATTAAAAAATTTATTTTTGAAAATGTGTAAAAAATGTACATTAGAATGGTACAATAATACTTGCCAGTAATTTTAACAACATTCCTTGTAAAGAATACGCATAAAGTACAAAATAAAAACTCCGTATGTCTATTATAATACAAAACACAGGTTAAAATAAGAAAGGATAATCTTGACTTTCTTCTGTGTAAACATGTTAATTTCCTTTTATAAAAGTACATGAGACAAGTGTACTAAAATGAAAAAGTATTGCTTTATTGTCCACCCTCACGACCTTTCATTTCTCTTGTACATTATTGTTTTTGAATTCCTGGACCTGAGAATCTCTGAACTTCAATGGTTTAGAGATTTTTTTTAAAGGAATACGATATAACTTTCCAACAACAAAAGTTTCTGCCTATGCAGCATATAGAATTGGCTTTGCATAAATATAGGTATCGAACAACAAAGTGGCAGGACACAAATCGGCTGTATAGAATGTCTGTTTCAATTCGTGAAGGTGAAAAAAGGATATACCCCGAATCCTACCTTCTGAAAGACTTTAAATCGTTAACAATTTGAAATCCTAGCAGTAAAGTTTTCGACATTGGACAAGGCTGTCCCTTGGTGCAGTGCCCCTAAGGCCGCGGCGGCGGAAGAAACGGAGGAAGAAGAAACCAGAGACCGGGCTAAGACTGGAACCACCGCCGACTGCGACACACAGCTGCTGCCAGCACCCCCGATGATGCTCTCAATGGAGAAGGGGGAGCGGGCCAGAGCCGAGCTGCTGGATTTGGCAGCGTGCAGAGAAGAAGTCAGCGACGGGCTAAGCTGGGGCGGGTAGCGGAAGGTCCTGGCCAGCTCCGCCGCCGGCAGTAAGGAGGCTGGTGGCGCTGCAGGAGCAGCCGCAGGAGGCAGGACGCTGCCGGCGGCGCTCGCGGGGGGCTGCCGGGCCGGCGGGGAGTGGTGGTGAAAGGCAAAGAGGGCGGCGGAGTGGGGGTGGTAAGGCTGGAGCTGAATGCCATATCCACAGCTGTAGGGTCCGTAGCCGTAGGGCGCCGGCTGCTGGGGCGGCGGCGGCTGCTGCAGGAAGGTGCCGGGATCCACTCCGCGCAGCAGCAGCTCGGGCGCCGGCAGCGGCTGCCGCTTGAAGCGCTTCCTCCGGCGCAGGAAGCTGCCGTTGTCGAACATGTCGGCGGACTCGGGGTCCAGGGTCCAGTAGTTGCCCTTGCCCGGGTTGCCGGGCTCGCGGGGGATCTTGACGAAGCAGTCGTTGAGCGAGAGGTTGTGGCGGATGCTGTTCTGCCAGGCGGGGAACTTCTCCCGGTAGTAGGGGAAGCGGCCGCTGATGAACTCGCAGATCTCGCTGAGCGTCAGGCGCTTCTTGGGGCTCTGCAGGATGGCCATGGTGATGAGCGCGATGTAGGAGTAGGGCGGCTTCACCAGGCTGTTCTTGCCGGCCCCGCCGCCGCCCGCCGCCGCCTTGAAGGGGCGCTGGGAGCAGGTGGGGGAGCTGCCTGCGCCGACGCACGCCGGGGACCGGGGCAGCGAGATGTCATCGGGGAGCTCCCCCACCTCCTCGTCTTCCTCCTCCTCCTCTTCCTCCTCCTGCGCATAGGGGCGCCCGCCGCGCCGGAGCTCCTCGTCCTCCTCCTCGCCCTCGCCCACCACATCGATGTCGGTCTCCTCAGCCAGTCCCGAGGCATCGGACATCTCCGAGCTCAGAGTCATGGCTTGGCGGAGCGGCTCATCCGGGGCGGCTGGGCCGGGGAGCCGCGGCTGCCGGGCACGCTGGAGTCCTCTTGCTTTGCTCCCGGCGGCTAATCCGCCCAGCCAGAGCCAGGATCCGCCGCCCCGGTGCGACCAAGCAACACACACAACAACCAGCAGCAGCCTCCGGCGAGCAGGCAGCGGGAAATCTCTCCCCCTCGGCTGCGCCCCGGAGTTGGTTCCTCTCTTTCTCCTCCTCGCAAAAGCCCTCGGACATTAATGGATCCAGGGAAGGAGGGAGAGCGATTAGTATTGGGGGGTGGTGAGGGGGAAGAGTCTTGGGAAAGATCTTGAAAAGGCTGGGGCTGAGTCCAAAAGAGGGCGGCCTTTCTTCTCTCCTTATAGCGAAAGGGGGCCCATCACATGGCTCCAAACGTCAGCGCCACAACTGGGGAAACATCTCAGCGCGTTCCTCCTCGGAGAAATCAAAACAGCACTGAGCAGGCAAAGTCCGGCGGGTGGGGGTGCGGGGGGGAGGCACGACAAAATCGCCGCCCCCGGCAGTCCTGATGTTTCCAAGAAACTCGACTGCCCGCATTGCTAAAGGTCAGGGTTGGGAAAATGAAATACGCAGTCCTTCCTGCTGCCTCTCCCAATATACAGTGTGCCATCCCGTTGCAGTTCCTCCCCCGCCCTCCGCCCTCCATGTGCCGCAACACCAAACTGCACTTCTGTTGCTGGGGTTATTCTGAGTAGTCGCTGGAGAACACATTTGCTACCCAAATCACTGCCCAAATCGCAAGGCTTTTCAGCAACAGAACGCCCTTGGTGTCCTTTGTTGCTCGAACCTTCCCAAGAGAAGAGGAAATCTCACCAAAAAGGGAGCGAGGCAATCCCAAATACAGGAACTGTCCATGCAAATATTCCACGGGTGGTAGGGAAATCTGCATTTTATTGTTTCATTCATTAATATTTTGAGACACACACACACACCCCCCAGCGCACACGGTTTCTTTTTTTTCCCCGCGGTTTTACTACACAGGAGGAGAAAATGCAAAACCATCTGTTTTTACCGGAATGTTAGTGGAATATAGTCGTTTTTGCAGATGAATTTCTTCTGAAGACCATTTGATTTTAATTCAATAACTGCAATTGAAGACGAGGGAAAAGGAGAACACGCCTGATAAAAATATAGACATTTTTATATATAATAATTAAAGTCGGTCTTCGAGTCAAGGGTAGGAGCATTTTCAGGATCTGAACGGAACTTTTGGTAGAAGGAACATTTCCTAACCATCAGGATGGGGGTAGTGCTCTAAACCTCCAGTGAAAATGCTTCTTCGGGCAGAAACTTTTAGAAAACTCTTTTTTCCTCTCATTTAGGAGTGGTATCACACATACCGTATATCTCTAGCTGTCAACCGAATCAAAAATATCCCCACTATTTTCATATTTGATTTTAAGGACTTCTTTTAAAGGAAGAAGTGTAGCCCTTTCTGTTGTATGAAACACAGAAAGAGAGAAGTCCCCTTCTCGTGCAAGGAGAAACAAAATAACATATTTTAAGAATCTCTTCGCCTTTGAGCTGTGGAGCAAAAGTAATAAGAAAGTGAAACACAATTATATTTCCAAATAAAATCATGATATTTTTTCAATGTCAGCCTACACATTTTATGATAACAAAAAATCATACTCCTCTCAATTAGAGGGCGCGCACATTTAATGGATCACTTCTGACGTTAGATGGGAAAGATTATGATAAACGCACTTCTAAGCACTCTGACATGAAAAAGAACCATCTTGAATATACATATTATACATAGTTCTGCCGAATTAACTCTAAATTATAATCTGTTTTAAAGTAGGACGGTATATAAAAGTTGTCATTTTATTCTGATTACAATTATTTTGGAAAGAAAATATAACTACGTGCTATAACGCATATTTCAAAGGCGATAAAATATAACATTTTATTTAAATGAATTTTCAATATCTTTTCTAAATCAGAAGTTACAAGCAACACTGTTTCAAACTCAGGTTCATGGATTTGTGAACATAATCCTTGTTAGTATTTCCAAATAATCCTATTTACATAGTGTTCATTACGGAGAAGCCAAAGGAGCATACCACAAAAAATTACAAAAGCAAAAGAATAATTCAATCAATAGCTATGTTTTGGCTAATAGCGTTTTGTACCTCTGTAGAAATGACAAAGTAACTCTAGTTGTATTAAAAATTAGTGAGTGAAATATCGTTTATGCGGGGAAATAGTTTTCCGTCTGAGGTACCAAGGCAAGTTATATAAAGTTTCTTTACTTGAAAAGTGTTTACAGTTGGGGATTTTTGTTTGTTCTAGTTTCTTGTTAGTTAGTTAGTTTGTGGGGTTTTTTCAATTCTCTTTGTCTTCTAGTACCTCTCACTGTGTTTTTTATTACATTCCAGACTGTTTATAGTCGTCCAAAAAGAGCGAAATAAGAAGAATGGAGTTTAACTTTCGTGGACAGGCACCAGCTTCACAGAAATAAGAATGCAAAAATAATCATACCTGCCTTTATCTTGTCTGCCAAAACCCGTGCATGATTCATCTGTGTACATTTTATATGTGTAACACATGCAGAAAACAGTGTTCTAATATTGACCGGTATCGCGACATTTTATTTCCATGATTTTGATGCACAGGCCGATGAAAAACTCAAATATTCAAATAAACTGAGCCCCTTTGTCTCAGGTGGTTAAAACGTATCTTCCCTACACACTTAGAAAATGTTGTAAGTCATCTTCTGTCACTCGAGAAAAGAGAGGTGGGGTTTACTGAAGGGCAGTGAGTCAGCTCTGACTACAGACAATTAAGATAAGGTTTTATTGCAATCCCTCAGAGTGATGGTGACTTTTTTCTCACCAAAAGAATATTTGACTTCTTTCCTTCCAAACTTAAAAAGGCTGAGCTAAAAATGTGTGACAAAAGACAATGAAACAAACAACGCCGGACATTGCTCAACAGGGCAATAACCTCGGAAGCAGGCCCTGGCTGCAGTTCTCTGGACAGCTCTGCTGTGTTTCGCTCGTGCAGGAAATCAAACAGCAGGTAAAGAAGGAGAAAGCAAAGTCCATCTCCTTGCATGTGTCAAATGAACGGCAGTACTCGGCGTGAAGAACTGTAGGGCCCAGACAGAAGCTCTTTGCTAAACAACCGGCAGCCCAGCGATTTGATGTTTTGCTCTTTTTACAGACAAGACAGCGAAACTCAAAGTTGAGTTACCTCATCGGAGCCGAAATCGCGCTGCTTCTCTGCAGATCTCCCTTCAGGGAGCTCTCTTTGGCGGAGATTCTCCGCGGACAAGGGATGCCACCTACCGGCAAAGATACTGGCATGCCCGAAAACGGGTATTCGTGAGCTCTCCATCCCGGTCGGTCAAGTTTGCTTTGGAGTTTGTTCAGTACAGTGTGCTAGGATGACAGCCCTAGTCCCCAACCCCAGAAAGCCGAGCATTGCCGAGGGGTGACTGGCTCCAGCGCCAAGAGGAAAAGACACCGCCGGTGCCCAGGCAGCTAAATAGAATTCTTTGGGCCATATTGTGCTATCCATTTTGAAATCAATAGGGAGTCCTGCTTCCAGATCCATGGCGCAGATCTTGCCCTTTGTCCTTACTGGCAGTTTGCATTAAAAAGTTTGATGAGAATGCTTACAAGCAAAGACTAAAAGGAAGAACACAGAAATTTATATGATTCTAAGTATCTGCAAATAATAGCAATCCACTGGAGAAAATATGTAGGGCTGTTATGGAAACAAACTACCAGACGACATTGTTTATACCCCTGAGCTTTTTTCTGGGGTTAATTCTGATTGACTTTTAAGTGTCTATTCATTGTACACTCGTCAAATGCTAATTTCAAGGTGTGGAAGGGCTCGCACCACCTCATTCTTCTATTGAGAATGCTCTTTGTATAAGTTCATAATATCGGAGAGGGTTTTAGAAACTGAGTACATTAGTAATATGCAGCATGTTAATATAATTCCTACAAACAGTTATGGTGTATTGTTATTTAACGTGAACAGGAGAGATCTGGATATTAACTGTTAACGGCAATGATTCTACCGATTTGTATACTTCATTCTCGACAGCACAGTGTGTAAACATAAACGTCTTCGCTAAAACCATATAGGGCCATATCATGCGATCGATTTGTAACCAGAATTTCCCCAAATTCTGCCTCAATTTGATGGCACAATAAGGCCCATAGAAAATACATTTACTCATTACATTCTTGCTTTCTAGCCTATATTCATGTAAAATATGTCCCCAATTATTTATTGTGTACATTTATTTAAATGGAAGCACTCCTCTGGAAAACCCACAGTCAAGAAAAGAAAAGAAAAGAAAAGAAAAGAAAAGAAAAGAAAAGAAAAGAAAAGAAAAGAAAAGAAAAGAAAAGAAAAGAAAAGAAAAGATGCAGCCTTCAGCGTCCAGGGCAAACAACTCCAGCCATTTATTCGATATGGATATTTCAACTGATACAGGAATGTGAATAGGAGATTGCCATACACAACATACACTGAGTAGGAAACTTGTTTTCTAAGCAGGTTTCGAAATCGGGAAGAGTTGGTGTCAGCAAAGGTTTAACCGACAATGCAAAAAAGGACAATTATTTGCCCCGACTAAGGAATTTTCATGACTTCTGATAACACTGAACATCCTCTGCAATGAACAGGCCATTTCTGAGGAAAGAATCTCTCCAGTATTTGCTAACCCTGATATTGTCTAACAAACCGAAGCAGTCGCATTGTGGACAAGTTAATCATTTTTATACCCACCTTCTAGACAAGAGGAAACTATTAGGATTTCCACTTAGACACCGTCCCCAGTCCAAAATTGGGCCAAATTCTGCCCTATGTTCCTTGATCCTCACTGACTTCAATGATCATGGTTTCAAGGGTATGACTGAGAGCAGAAGGAGAGAAACTGTAGACCTAAACCTGTAAAGCCTTACTCCTAGAAATAGTCCCATTTTAGTCGGTGGGGATTACTATCTGGAGTGAGGCTTGTTTTCTTGTTTCTATCATTCAATTTTATCCAGTCCCCATTTAGTTCGCTTATAGGGCCTTTAGCTGAATGGGAGTTTTGCCACTGACTTCAACGAGGGTGCACAAATAAAGTAGGCTGCATAAGTGAAAGGGAGGGGACAATACAGACATAAAGTGGGAGAGATGAGAATGGGGCACGGGCAAAAGCACGATTTAACCTGCAAAAGCAAAACAACATGAAAATCGTAGCGTGTAAAAAGTCTGTGAGGCCCTAGAGACGCAGCAAAATAGTAAATGTACTGTATGCATTTGTATTTCTTTTAGGGCACCTCTCCTAAGGCCTGGGCACTGCTACAACAATTACAAAATGCAGCACAAAAGAATAAAAATGACAAAATCTCCCAATAGTTCCCCTCCCACACCCAGCCTACAGTTATACTTGCAAAATAATCGTCGTAATGATCCACAATAACTCAGACTCGGATCATCCTTTGTCCTTCTGTTTATGCAGCGTAAGATTGCCAGCGTCATTAGCAGGAATATCGCTGGGCACGAATGATTACCACGGCAGGTATTCTATCCTGGGTTCACTGGCAGACACATGAGACACTTCCTAAAAAGAAACAGAGCCTTTTTAGAACTGTCAAACAACATGAATGTTTAAAATACCAGAACTGGAAAGGAAGGGAAGTTTGGATTAAAAGTGTGCAGCTCTGTTACCCTTGGGAGGACAACGTGATTAGAATAATGGCGGGATGTATTTTTTTAAGTATCCACACGCATACAACACACTACGTCTTTTCACTGGCTAAAATGCTTATGTCATATACTCCATAACTCATACCTTACCTACATACATAAAATCAAATCCTGCTTAGTTTACTAATGCAAGTAGTCCCTTTAACTATTATTCATTCTAACCCATCTTTTAAAATCCCCGTACATCCAAACCACCTTCAAGCACATATTCGAACCAATAGATCAGCCCCGTGCTGTTCCCTAGAAGTTCACAGTCTCCAGAAGGCTGGGGATGAGCGAGTTCCAAAGCCAAGGATGTTCCCCTGTATCCAGTCCCCAGGATTCAAATCTGGGGATGGAACAAGAATTCTTTAGCTGATCTCAGCTGCTGGGAAGGATGACTAAGCAGAGAAGCAGCCTCTTAGCTAGTCACGACCCAGAGCATCTGAAAGCATTCTAGGTTAAAACCAATACCTTGAATTGCGTATGGAAACAGATGTAGCACCTGCTAAATCAGATATACGTCTTGTAAGAGATGAGTAAATTCCCATCTGACCTGGTATCTCAGTCACCTAGGCTGTTCTGGGTGACTTCACCGCTATGTTGATGGTGAACCTTATAACATAAAAGCTCAGAACTAATGATCTACACTGTAACCGTCCCGATGTGATTTTTAGTTCAACACATAGCTAGGCACCCTTTGAACCTTATGTTTGGGTTGGCACTGGAGTCAGGGAATGTGAGCACACTTTGCCAGGCATTTAGGATGAGGTCAGAGTTTGCTTT